TTTCCAGCAGAAAATGTTTGCAAACAATAACACCAGGTACAGGCCAAGAAAAGAACATAGTTTCCCATAGTATACTAGGCAATTGCAGCAAGATCAGTGGAAACCAAATGCATTTATTATTTGCAATGTAATTCAATATACTAAGAGATGGCACACACTTTATTTTAATTAGCTGTTTCTTTTAAGGGGTTGCTTGCTCCCACTGTCTTGATAAGAAAAAATTGTAGTCATTGCTCAAAATGCTTGTAGCAAATCTAGTTTTAAATTGAAACAATTTATTCCAAAGCAGTCTACTACTGCAGCAATAATCAATGTGTTTTCCCTAAGCCTGTACTGGAGCTTTCCAAGGACTATTGTTAATTGCCTGTAACTAAATGATTGCTGGGGCCCTTAAATGCAACTCTTTGGCACTTGTTCATTTGTTGTTTTTAACCAAATGCCAGTTTTCCTTAGGTTTTGCCTAGCAATTTTGCTTTTACAATTTTCAATATTCAGTCTCAGTCCCTTAAAGGGGGCAGAGTCTATCATTTTAACAAAATAACACAAAGGCTAAACAGATTTTAAAAGGTCTGCACTTTCTCCTTCGGTCCTCAGATGTTGAATTGTGCTGAAATGGAATCTTTTTATTTTTTTAAATGCTGCCACTCCAGGCAACTTGAACTAGAGCTGAAAGGCAGATCCCATTTCAAAGGGAAAATGACATTTGCTGGGCCAACACCATTTACATTGTAAAGATAAAATACAGCAGTGGGCCCAAATGATTTCTCTTAACTGTGACAGAATTTAATCCTTAGTAATTTTGTATAACCCAAAGGATATGCAATAATATGGTAGCACATGTATTAATGAATCTGTCTGGCTTGGAGCAAAAGAATACAAAGGCTAAATCTAATGCACCATTTTCTTTGAGAGAGTTTACATATGCTATATAAACCAGTGTGACTTACTTAAATGGAAAAAAATTTAACTTGCATACATGTATAATGTGTAGGCATGTGTATAACACTCCTGCATAGAAATAATGTAGTAACTGAGGAGCAGGCACTGTACACCATGGGGAAATACACATTTCCATCTTGTTCCTGACCTCTTTATAAGGACATTATGAGAACACTATGCTTCTGCAATGTAATACTACAGAAGTCCCTGGGGGAAAGTCTGCGACGCTCTCAGGATCTCAGGATAAATTAGCTCCTTGTAAATTCTGTTTCTTTAGACTCGTTTTTGGTATTTCTATTATTAGTAAACGACTATCTATGGCCCAGAAGAATTATTCTTGCTTATTGCTCATTCTCTAAGCATATATAACTTTTCATATGTTTGTACTCTAAAGGAGTTTTTCATGTGACACAAGACTGTTTCTGTAATTGCTAAGCTACATCAACCCTGCTCTCTTTTTCTTATTATATTTTAAACAACACTATTGATTTGCTATGTAGAGTATTCTAAGAAATGTATATCATTTTTCAAATGGCTCGTGACATCTAGCAATGGGAGTAACTCCTATTTGGGTAATTGCTTTGCTAAAAATAAGAAGGACTTATTTTCATACAATTTTTCTCTAATTTGCATGTATTCAATTGCTCAAAATTTAAAAAGTATATAGAGACCAGTATTATAAATACCATCTGGAGAAAATGAGAGTTCTGTTGATTGGATTGATCAGATTATGTTTCAGGCAAAGGTTTTTTGTTATTTCCAAAGCTCCTTGAGTATATATGGGCACTTAAGACATGCCACATGCCCAGCCCCTGTGCAGTGCCTCCAGATGCAAAGAATGTGCTTAGGGACACCATAAAAGAATCATTCTCTGCCTGGGCACTTATCTAGAGCAGAGCAGCTTTCCCGACTCCCAGCTTTCTTCCCACACTTCTCCCCACATAGGCCTTTGGTTAGAACTTAAGTTTTTCTTAAAAGAAATCAAAATGTTAAAGATTTGAAATATGATTAACATAATATAAAACATGGAGCTCTAAGTGTTTGGCTAAATGAGTTCCGACAAATATAAACACTTCTGTATCCACACCAAAATCTATTTCCTTTACCCCAGACAGTTTCCTCTTGCTCCATTCCAATAAGTTTCCCTTCACTCATCACCAATGAATCCATTTCCTGATTTATGTCACTATGGATTATGTTGGTCTGTTCTTCAGCATAATTTAAATAAAATCATACAGTAGGTATTATTTTGTGTCTGACTTCCTTTTTCTAACATAATTTTGTAAGAGTCATGCATGTTTTATGTATCAGTAGTTTATTACTTTTATCACTGAGTATATCCTATCATATGAACATACAATCATTTGTTCATCATTTCCCGTTAATGGACATTTAAGTTGTCTCCATTTGTGGCTGCTGTGAATAAATAAGACTATTCTGAGCATTCTCATCCAACTCTTCTTGCAGATATCTGCTTATATTTCTCTTGGACAAATACCTAGGAGTGGAATTGCTATTGATATGGTAGATTTATATTTAATTTTATTAGAAATTACCCCAAAGTTTACAATGTGGTAATATCATTGGGTACTATTACTAGCAATGTTTGGGAGTGGAAGCTAAGTGTTCTTGATTATTTTTCCGTTTCTTTTTTTGTACAAGAAATTTTTGGGTGGTAAATTCCTAGTGTTTAATATACTAAATTAGAAAATCTTAAAAGAAGCCATAGTCGAACTGCTTATTTCTCACATTATATCCAGTGTATTTTAAATCACGTCTTCCTGATTTATAAATCACCCTGTGGGCATAAGTTAGAATTTTACACAGGCTTCTCTGTATGGTGGAGTTTGTTATCTTGAGTGAACAAGACCCAATGTATCCCCACAGGATTAGCCGCTCTCCCTTTCTATTCATATAGTAGGGGGAAAACATTATACTGAAGAACTTTTTGTATTTTGTTCCTGGTATTTTTGTAGTGCTGTCTTGTGTGGTTCCTCACAATGTTAATCAGATAAGCTGCTGGAGGTATTTTGTAGTGTTTCACACTTCATATTAATTTACTTAGATTATAAAAGATTTGATCTCACTTTATTTTTTATTTCTTAAATGCATACGGTTCAATCATTTTAAATAATATTTTCTTCAATTTCCCATTTAATTTTAATAATTACAGAAAAATACACTTGATTAAACAGTAGTTAATGTGTTATTTATTAAACTGTAGAATGAGAAGTCAAGGGCTAGGTAATAGGAAATATGAATGAGGATTTTGTTTTGTTTTGTTTTTTGTTTTTTGAGACAGAGTCTCGCTCTGTTGCCCAGGCTGGAGTGCAGTGGTGCGATCTCAGCTCACTGCAACCTCCACCTCCTGAGTTCAAGTGATTCTCCTGTCTCAGCCTCCCAAGTAGCTGGGATTACAGGCACCCGCCATCATGCCCAGCTAAGTTTTGTATTTTTAGTAGAGACAGAGTTTCACCATGTTGGCCAGGCTGGTCTCAAACTCCTGACTTCAGGTGATCTGCCTGCCTTGGCCTCCCAAAGTGCTGGGATTACATGTGTGCCCAGCCGGAGGATTTTTTTTTCTGTAATTATTACAGGAAAAGTGACATCACATGCAAACACACACATACACAATGTTCTTGTGAGAAAATGATGGCCATGCTTTTCAGATTGTTTGTCACTCAAACTACACCAGTCCCATCATGATTTCACCCCATTTGTGAGAACTCAGGACTGATCTTATAACCTGAGGGTACTTGTTACTGGCAAAACCATGGATTATTTTAAAATTCTCAGTCTAAGCTTACTTACATTGACTGTGTTATGAAATTAGATAACTTACTGGTGGATTCTGAATTACAGAATCAAGAACAACATTATTTTACAGCTTTGATTTCAGAAATGTTTGTATTTAATTGTAATTAAGGAAACTAGTACTTTTCAAGGTAGTTGTCAACTGCAGGGAACAATGGCTACCCATCAGTGACAACATTTGGGCTATGATGATCAGGACAACACTTAGTTAAAGTGAGTTTCAAAAATCTGTGCATGATGGCTTACTATTTAAATACCGGTATCCTTAGTTTTGTTACAATGTCCATAGTTCTAAAGAAGGAAAAAATAACAAAATATTTTATCTCCAAGTTTCCTGATAAGTTTTTATCTAAGGTAGATATTCAATAGAAAAAGGAGGATTTGTATACAGTGAGTGTCAAGAAAATTCCTTTTTTGGATAGAACGTAATAACATGCCTGGTAAAAGGGGAAGCCAAAATTTTAACAAGTAAATGGTTGAATGAAAATAAAACACCACCAACATATTCATATACTGTCCCATCCACTGGGAGGCCTACTTCTTACACCCAAAAAGCATTCAGCCTCCAAGATTATGGTAGACCACCTTCGTATCACTCTATTCAGGAAGATACAACACAGGAGCCATTGCTCCTGGCAGGAGTCAGCAGACAGCATTCATTAGATAGTCTTCCCAACATTCTATGCAATAATCCACAGTGCTCTCCTGGAACTGTGTTGTTTGACCTGTCACCTTTCTTTGGCCCCCAACCCACAGGTGACAGCTCAAGTGAGAGGGATCAAGATTCTCATTGGGAAAGGCCAAAAGTCATGCTAGCTTAAAAGCTTCATATCCACAGGAATCAGTATTTATTTTATCAACCCCATAAGCATAGCTTCCAGAATCTCCACAAGGGATACATTTATATAAGAGAAGTATGGCACTCTGGTGAACCCATTATTATAGTTTGCAATTGGATGTTTACAATTCTCTTAGTCCAAATGCAAGCTACCAACCAAGGTTCATTTTTACCACAAGCAATGTTGCTTAGCAACATAGTTATCACATACCACCTTATCTAGTTACCAAGGAAACAGAGCTAGAAAGTTATCGAAAGGTCAAATTCTCATGCGAAAAGGAAAGGGGTTGTGTTAACCCATTACCCACATCTCATCTCGTGCAAGAAAATGTGAAATCAAATTGAATTTAATTTGTGATTTTGGATGTGAATACTATATAATTCCCCATTGTGATTTTTTTCTTTCTAGAGCTAATGTACACAGTGGAACTTGCTGGAGGGCTTGGTGCTATTCTCTTGCTGCTTGTATGTTTGGTGACCATCTACAAGTGTTACAAGATAGAAATCATGCTCTTCTACAGGAATCATTTTGGAGCTGAAGAGCTGGATGGAGGTAGGATGTTACCTCTTTTATTGTTCTTTCTGAATATTCTAGTTTCTTTCTTGTCTTTGTTTTATTAAGGGGAAAAAAGTCACCTGCATAATCAATGGCAGCAGCTCTTATATTCTTTCAATGCTCAGTTTGTAAATTTCTCTTTTGTAAGGAAATGTATGTGTGATGCTTTAGAGCCAATACTGTAGGTATTTTTCTCTGAAACTTGTAAAGCATCACCTACCCATTTTAGAATTGTATTCCAAACAGCACTTACAAATTACAAACACTGATTGCAATGCCATCAGAGCATTCATTTTCTCTCACCTTGTAATCAGGACTGAAAGGCCAGTTTAACTTTTTTTTTAGGTAAGGAGTGTCTCTTTTAATTGTGTTTTCTAGCCCAGTAGTTTGAAGTGAATCTCAATTTGTTCCTGTTTAGACAGATCCGTTATAATAAACTGTACTGAGTATTTTAAATTCATCCAGCACTCTTTTCAATCTTGTTTATTTAGCTATATTTAGATAGGTTAATTTGTATTCCGAGTGTGTACCAACAGAAAAATGCACAAGCACATTGATTTCATAATAATGCATCTCATATTTTTACTGTAAGTACACAAATAAATATTGTTTTGTGGAAATCATAATTAGTATTTGCTTCTGGTCACCAGTGAATACGTGTGCAATCTAAGAGGAAAATGGAGTCCTTAAAATTCAGCTCCCTAAACTGCATATTAGACTTAGTTAATTTTCCTTTTTGGTCATTTTTTAAAAACATAAGATAAACCAGCAATGTGGGAAACATATGCAAACTGACAATACAGATGACAAAGGTTTCTTCATCTTTTTTTTTTTTTTTTTTTTTTTTTTTTGAGATGGAGTTTCACTCTTGTTGCCCAAGCTGGAGTGCAATGGTGCGATCTGAGCTCACTGCAACCTCCACCTCCCGGGTTCAGGCGATTCTCCTGCCTCAACCTCCTGAGTAGCTGGGATTACAAGCGCCCGCCATCACGCCCAGCTAATTTTTTGTAGTTTTAGTAGAGACAGGGTTTCACCAAGTTGGTCAAGCTGGTCTTGAACCCCTGACCTCAGGTGATCCACCCGTCTCGCCCTCCCAAAGTGCTGAGATTACAGGCATGAGCCACCGCACCCGGTCTCATCATATTTATATACGGTTTTTTTCAGTGATTTTCAGTTTTGCAGTAAATGGTACCAAGGAAAATGAGGCAATTGCCTATGTTGCCACATTTCCAGGGTCCTCTGGAATAATAAATCCACAAGCAAAACTGTAGTCTTGCAGGTTTGTAAAGAGAAGTGGTTTATTCAGAATGCCTAACACTCCTCTTGGTTTACCCTTCTCTCCTTCCCATTAGGGTGAAGGCTGAGCTGCAGCAAAACCAGTTTTTTTTCTTAAGTTTTAAATTACCGGTTTGCCTATTTATTTCTAACTTTCTTGCCTATTGATACAAATTATTATTATTATTTTTATTGCTGCTGCTGCTTTAAAGAAATATAAGGACTTTAAATAAATATAAGGACTTTGCCATTGTCGAAACTACTGATGAATGAGTACCAAGCATAGTGCTAGGCACTCTTAAAGTCATTCTTGCTAAGCCTCACAAACATCCTGAGGTCAATATTGTAATCTCCATTGTACTGATGAGGCAACTGAGACTTTCAGAGGTTAAATAACTTACTCAAGAAGATAACACAAATACTGTAAGTGGCCAAGATGGGATTTGAAAATAAGTCTATTCCCAAAGCCTTTATCTTATCAGACACTCTCTGTTATTTTTATTTTTTTTAATTTAGTATGTTCAGTATAATCTAAAGATCTGCTGTTGTTTGCACAATGAGCACAGTGCATGGTATTTGAAAAAGTACATTACCTAAACAATCTCCCCTTTTCTATTAACCCTATTTTGAATATGTTTATTTTGTGTTCTGAATGATATGAATGATGTTACCAAACCATCAGTTTCTAGGGTAGTAATCTATCATTTTCTGAATGTAGAAAATTCTGGAATATAATGAAAACGAATTAATCATATGCAGTTGAACTTTCAATGATTTGAAGTTTCTTTTAGTGGGTCCTGCTAGTTGTAAACATTTAAGTGACTGACTTGGGCAACCTTACCAGATTTCATTGCTATTCTGAAGCTGCTGGGTTCTCAGTTTTTTAAAAAATGTCTTAAGTAAGGAAACAAAACAGACAAACACTAACAAACAGTATTCTAACAGATGAGAAGGTTCTCTCGGAAAGCCAATTTAGTTAATAAATGCTTTAGCAATTCTTAGAACTCTGTCTCTGGGGCCATCTTAAGCACAATCGAGGGTCTAACTATTAGGGCTTTTCTTGAAATGCCACTGAAAATGCATTAGGCCCAAAGAAAACCAAGATAACAAAGTTAATTGTCATCTGGAAAATGTTAATGTACAAGTTATTCCTCTAAAAAGGGGGCGGGGGGGGAAGCAAAGACTGTCAAGGCAGTGATTGTTCAAATGGTTTTATGGGAAGAAATTATTACTAGAACCGCAATCACATGTTCAGCCTCCCTATATTAAAGCAGACCCGTTCCTGCTGAAATGGTGGTCAGGGGCCCACTCTTAATGCCTATCTCCCGCTGCATCATAGCTAACCTCTAGAACTTGCAGAAACACTGTTTTATCAGAACCATACAGCAGTACTAATAATTATATAGCAAGTTTAAAATCTATATCTTAACAAAAGTTAAATATGCATAAATGCAACTTTCTTTAATTCTCTAGTGCTCTAAAACCATTCAACTTGGCTCTCAAGTTCCCATTTCTACTGAGAAAAAACTCATAACCTTGCTTCTCCAAGATTACTCAGTCACTTCTAGTTTGGAATTCAGCTTCTTGTGGGTTAACACTCAGTTGAAAATTGGAATATTCCATTTCCCTTCTTCTCTTTTACTCTTGTTTAAACCTGTTTCTAGGGAACTCATATATAGCTTTCCGGTAGAGGAGAAAGTCATCTGGTGCATATGCCATCCCTTCCTCACTTGAGATACTACCACCTGGTCTTTGGACATGTTAAGCACTGACTCCTGAAGGCTTAGATCCTTGTCATGGCCTCCAGTCACAAGTTTCACACACTTGCCCAGATGTTTCTCCCTTGGGAATTTCAGACAGTCTTACCTGTGTTTCTAGTCCCATAAGCTCTGCTACACACATACCCACCTTCCCATTAAAAAACAAGGAAAAGTAATCATCTTCTTTATCCTTTGCATCTTTAATATACGGTTTTCACATTGAGTGCAAGATTTCTCTCTGAAGTTTACAGTTTCCCAAGATTTTCCCTGGGAAACTTGACGCAAATCCTCGCCCTTCTCAGATTCTGCTCAAACCATAGGAAGTTCTGTTATCCTCTTCTCCTCTCTGGGGCCCTGAGAGCCCCTTCTCAGAAACCCATGCAGGCTCTAAACCTTAGGCACAGCCCCTTAGAGCCTCCTATACATGCTTTTATGGTCAAAGAATTATCCACTCTTCCAATACTGAAAAACTTCTCTGACATCATTAAATCCCCATGCTTCCTAGCTCTGCAAGCTTTTTCCTCTTCCAAATAAGACATGGCTATTCAACAAAACCCAAGGCTTTGTAAATTCTTGTCTTGGCTTTTAAAAAGTGTAATTTAGAGTCAAACCTGAGCAATGCCTTCTTTATTCATGGCTATCATATTTACCTTCCCTGAGGGGGTAATTCATAAAATACTTTTGGAAGTAAGGTAAGGCAAAAAGTGTGGAAAATAACCAGGGGAAAATGTTTAGTAATATCCTACTATAGCAATATGATAATAATAGATTCAATGGCCACTTATTGAATAACAAGTGATGTGTTGACTACTTTATCAGTAATCAGAGAATCACACAATTAGAAAGACAGAATTTAAACTCCGGTCTAAATGACTCTAAATTCCAAGATTTACAGCCATTTTATCAGACTTGCAGATGGAGCTTCTGGCCTCAGGGACACATTCACTCCATTCCTTTGGAGTCATTACAAAAGGCATTATCTGGGTATATCAGTTCTTTATCAGAAGAATTATGATAAAGAAGGATTCTAATATTTTCTCAAGATAGAACATATTGATGCTTTTCTCTCTCACTTCGTTTGCATCACTCCTTGTTCCCCTCTACATAACCTTACATTTTACTGTCTCCCCTGGTCAGTCCTTAGCATTTCTAATTCCACAACACTCCCCGCCTATACTCATTCTTTGTCATCCTCCATTGTACACCTCGGTTCCTTGTATCACCCTCTACCTCATTGGCTCACACTTTCTCCTCATGTGCCATTTCTAATTACTCATCAATATCAGTCAATTGCATCTCTCAAAAACAGATCTTTTCCTTACCATTAATTGCAACCTCTTTGTCCAAGCCTCCTACACCACCCTCTTGCTTTCATTCTCTACTTCTCTATCTTATCCTTCACATTCCAACAGAATTATCTAAGTACAAATTTACTGTTCTATTTTTTAAAATGCCTCCATTTTGCCTGCCAGAACAAGTCTAGACTTAGCTCAGAAAGCAACTGCCATCAAACGGTGAGCCACCTTACTTTTGTGGCATTGCCACCCCCATGGGATCTCAACATGCAGAGTTCTAGTTAGAATAAGATGTTAGTCTTTGGAATAACACAACTGTTGAGAATGAACCTAAGACAATGTAATCATGCATAATTCTCTGAGTTTTTGGGGGAAAATGAAGTAACCACAATGGTTAAGGGGAGGAGAAGATTAGCTATCCCCCTACCACTTTGATTCCACAATAAAAGGAAAGAAAGTTTGGACAAATTCTGCCACAAAAATATTTATTAGCAGACAGCCTTATCACTCAACTTATAAATCAGAAGTTCCAATTCTGTTGTATACGTGTATGTTTGTGTGCATATGTGAATCTGCATGTGTGCATACTTTTCAGAAACCTTGCAAGAAATTTTCTCCCAAGGCAAATATGGCAATACGTCAGTGGTAGGATTGAACTTACCTTCTG